CGCAAGTTTTGATAAGAGTTCCATTGGCACCCGCAATAGTTCTATAATTCCTGATAGGTTTTATAAATAGTTCCTGATAAGTTTTATAAGTAATATAAATAGCAATTTTGTTTTTTTTTTTTAGCTAAATCAACAGAACTATTTATAAAACCTATAGGAATTATAAAATTATTGCGGATGCCAATGGAACTCTTATCAAAATTTGCAATGCCAAAAGATGAGGTGCCAACTTCACATATGTGCAATAATTGACGTTTTTATTTTTAGTTGATTTATTTATTTATTTATTTATGTAAGCGGTTTTATTTCAAATATTTTAAATAGAAGTGATTCGTTACATATATTTTTAATCATTATTCTAATCCAAGTAATAATAGTTTTAATTCTACTTCAAAGATATTCTCATTGAAGATTCCCTTATTTCAACCCAAATAATGACAATTTTAATATTCTGTATCAAAAATTATTACTAGAAAAAAACTATTGTATCAAATTACAAATTAAAGCTCAAATGATAGCTTAACTTACCAAGACATATATATATATATATAAAATAAAACCTAATATTTTTGTTACTTAACTTTAATAATACGTATCTCATTCTTACAAAAGTTTGTTAATTAGCGATTTAATAGTACTATAATTTTTTAAATGACTTGTAAAATTGATATGTTTTGTATGATATGTTATGTAAAATTGAAAGATTTTTAAAGAAACGCGTCATGAAGAAAAATAAAATGGCAAAACTAAAAACGCAATATTTAGATTATTAAAGATATTAAAGATATTATATAGATTATTAAAAATATAGATTATTAAAAATATTGCATATGTACAACAACATATGCAATGCATTAGTTTGTATAATATGCTATATCATGCTTGACTATCTGGGATGATTTTATGGAAACTGCAAATGTGATTTTTTATTAGTGTTTTTTATTATGTATAAATGCTTATGTATATAATATGATTAATCAAAATAATTAGCGATATAACTACTATTTTTGGGAAATACTTTAAGTTTATTTGAATAAGTTTTGTAATCTGTAAACAGATCGCGAAATTCTTAATAAATTTTAAGTATTCCAGAAATGATATTTAAATTGATACGTAAACAATATTCAAATTTACATCGACATAATAAATTCAAATATTACTTAAGTATCAATTAAGTATATATTTAAATATCATTTTTATAATATTAGAAATGGCTGCAATCTTTTTGATTTCAAAAAGATTGCAGATTCTTTCTATGACATTTCATCAAAGTTTCATGTGTAAAAATTGCGGACATTTTACTATTTCAGAACTGTCTCAGACAGATTGCAAACATATTTCGCAATTTTTATAAAACATTTTCACTTTTCAGTTAAAATATTTCTGAGATATTTTTGAAAACTTGTATGTTTTCGAAAATTGCTATATGGGTAATGTTATTCAAACATTGGATTATAAAACAAGGAGATATTGTTTGCTATCAGAAAGCTATAAATCAAGGAATTCAAGCGAATAATTTTCTTTATGACGTCTGTCTAGTTGGCCCACTTAACTTAATCTTAATGAAAAAATTATGAAATAATGCGCTAATCATATCCGCAAACAAAAAATTTTGCGTTTAGCTAAAAAATTCAGAAAATTCATAAACTCATTCCGTTTAGCTAAAAAAAAATTTATTGTAGGGGCTGAGTAGGCAGCTCCCCCATCCGTTAAAAACAATCGATTTGAAAAATCAAATGTACAGAATTATGCGCTATTATTTCCAAGCATTTTCGATTTTTGCGCTGCTATTCTTAAAGCACTTCCCTCTTGGAGCGAACAGCCATATTCATCCCTAAGTCATTTAAAATTGTAAAATTAAATAACTCCCACTATGCATAATAATTCTCTGATTTATGCGCTACTATTTCTAAGCATTTTCGATTTTTGCGCTGCTAAACTTAAGGCACTTCCCTCTTGGAGCCATATTCATTCCTAAGTCATTTAAAATTGCAAAATTAAATAACTCCCACTACATAATACATAATAATTCTCTAATTTATGGGAGACTATTTCCAAGTTATTTCTAATAGCAAAACAAATACACAAGTTGTTATATACATCATGTAAAGAATGGACAGTATAAATTTATTTTATATTTTTATAAATATATTTAAAAAAAAATTCAGAAATAGAAGAAAATTATTATCAAGCCTATTATTATATTTATTGATTTAATGCATCTTTAACAAAGTTCTTTACAGTCCTTATCTCTTATTTCTTAATAGGATATTGCTTGGAATTCATAGCGCATAAATCAAAAATAGACTTCGATTGGTTAAGCATGTATTTTCATAATTTTTCATGAATTATAAATATTAATGTTCGCTCTAAGAGAGAAATGCCTTTAAAGGTTGCAGCGCAAAAATCCAAAATGCTTGGAAATAGTAGCGCATACATCAGAAAATTATTATGCATAATCAGAGTATTTAATTTTGCAATTTTAAATGACTTAGGGATGAATATAGTTGTTCGCTCCAAGAGGGAAGTGCCTTAAGAGTTGCAGCGCAAAAATCGAAAATACTTGGAAATAATAGCGCATAAATCCTGTATATTTGATTTTTCAAATCGATTGTTTTTAATGGATGGGAAGATTGACTTGGCTGCTTACTCAGCTCCCCACAAAAAAATTTTTTTTTTAGCTAAACGAAATGAACACAAATTTTTTGTTTGCGGATATATAGCGCATAAATAGCGCATTATTTCATATTTTTTTCATTAAGATTTGGTTAAGTGAGGAGGGGGGGGGCCAGCTAGGCAGACGTCTTTATGTTATTTGCAGGAAAATCTTGAAAATGAAAAAACTATTAAGAATAATCCCATTAGATTTTCTATACAAATTTTTTTTTAGTACATTGGTGACGCAAACAAAGATTCTCCCCAGCGCGCCTAGTGGCCATAAGTGGAATTAGCATAAATCAGCAAATACTTTATATGTAACAGTCCATCAAAATTAGTAAAAAATAAATATTACTTTTTGTTGTGTTACTACTTAATGTTTATATTACATGAAATCCCCAAATATTTTTGCTTAAAACGAAATAGACATTTGGCATTGAAAAGAGAGAAAGCGAAGATGCTGAATGCAAAAAGTGCAAACAACGTACAGGGCCAAACTTACAGTAATCCGAAAATGCATTTTCATTACTTCCCCAAGGAATCTAATTTAAAAAAAAAAATGAAAAATTGCTTTAAAAATGGGCAAATCAACTTTGCAATATATGCGTATTTGTTCAAAGCATCTTAAGACTATTTTTCAGAAAGAAAATTTAAAAAATTATTATTAATTATTATTTTTTTAATTATTTTTAATTTTTTTTAATTATTAAATTAGTAATAAAAACTGTATGTTACACCAATATTTACACATCTGCTGATATTCTTCTAAAATATTTTTATTTGAATAGTAATATACGAAAATATCTTTGCATGTTCTTCCAAGTTGTATTATTTTCCATAGGTTGCTTTTTAAGCTTCTAATTGATTTTAATTTAGAATTAAAGAGACACAAGTTGTTTCTAATGTTTGTACCTTCTCAAAATATTACGCACGCACGCACGCACGCACGCATGCAGTTTTGAAACTGAAATGACATCACTTAAAAAACGCTAAATGAAAGCTAGATTATATCGAGCTAAATTGCGAACTAAAAAGCAAAGGTTTATATTCATTTATTCGTCTTACAAGGAACCCACTTGCAGTGCTTCATAAATAAATATAACAACCAAATCCAGAAAAATAGACTCACTAATGTCCGTTTTTGCATAAAATAAATAAATCTGGTAAAAAAAAGTATCGCTCTGTCCCATGAACCGAGATATTAATTAAAGTTGACAAATATTCGAATTAGGAAATCTGTCACATCAGTAGTAGAGAGACATGAGACTAATAAATGAAGATTTTTTTGTTTTAATTACATAAAATTTTCGATTTCAAAAACAAATTTTCTGCTTTAAAAAATTTCTTTAAAAAGAAATGGTAATTATTTAAAATACAATTCCCTCTTAGAATCTAAATAAAAATGTACTCATTCGACATATTTTCACTTAAAACAAAAGATTTTGACAAAAAAACGTGGCAGTCGGTCTCGTGAATCGAGTTATTAAGCATTATTAAGAGTTATTAAAGTTCGAGATTTTAGAAGTTAATATAAGTTATTCCGATTCGATACAACTCTGTATATGTTCTGTTTTAATTACAAATTTAATGCTTTAAAAACACAAATTCGCTACTTTAAAAATTCACTGTTTTAAGCACACAAATTCTTTGCATTAGTTGTGAATTTGTGTTTTTAAATCAATGAATTAGTGTCTTTAAAGCAATGAATTTGTGTTTTTAAAATAGAAAATTTATATTCTTATAAAGAACTTTTTTTATAGAGAACTTGTGTTTTTAAAATTTATTAGTATTTACATAAATATTTAAATAAATAATAT